TGGCACTTAGCCCAACAGACGGTAATCATAGTCCAGTGTACCAAAATAATTGTACATGCAGACTGCAATTTTTGGGGGGAAAAAAGGTGATATAACATATTTTTTATTTTTATGTATCTTTTATTTTTAAGGTGACAAAAACCAACACTTTTCTCAGCCACTTTAACAACAGATCAGAGCAGGGAGGGTTTTGTCCCCAGTTTGTCTTGACGTCAGCAGTGAAGTAAACTCATGAATTCTTTCAGGCTGGACACAAAAGGATCCCATCCCAGACTGCCACCAAATCAGCCTTCTGTTTAAACTCCTCAACAGGGTCTTTGTCTGCTTTGTCAACACTGAGAGTAAAAAGGCCCCGCAGCTCCAAAATAAAACAGCCTCACCAGAGGTTTGACGCTTCTCTCCATCATTCAATTAGCTCTGACTAACATTTCTGGACTTCTGTAAAAAAAAAATATATATATTATATATATATATATATATATATATTTATTTTCTGATCAATGTTTTCTGCAGTCCATCATGGTTTAGGACTCTCTGTTTTCAGTAGAACTGATATGCGTCCGTTTTACTGGTTTTATAAGGAGCTGTTAAAGACGCTGATCAAACACATAAAGTGATACAGGATGGTTGGTAAAGAGAGCTCAAGGTGAGGAAGCTGATAATGGATGTCTGCGTCTCTTTTGTGGAGTTTTGTTGCATCCTTATAGCAAATGGGAAACTTGGAGTTTTCCGTTTGACATCAGAGTTTCTTCAACCTCTCTTTCTGTTACCATAGTAACACTCTCCCCAAACCTGGAGCAGGTTTTCCTTAATAAACTCAGTGTGTCCTCTTTCCGCCCTGATGAAGTCTATCGTAGTTTTGTATGAACAATAAAAAGAAAATCCGTCAGTAGGTCCGTTAGAGACATTGTGTTAAAAACACAAACATTGCATGTCCTTTTGATGAGGATCCAAATAAAGAATGAACGGCATTGATTCAGAGAGTTAAGTATTTCTAGGGAGAGGGTTCTCAGACCGCATATAGACATCCTTTACTATTCAGAAAGTTAACTTCATGAGCATTACCATTTCACCTCATTCCATTACATACATCTACGACCTCATCCATCATCACATTAGCAGCATTGTACAGACTTAACAAGAAATTAACAGGACTTGTTGATATGTGATATAGAAAACAACTGCACTGTCGAAGAGCCACTTAGTATTTACTGTATAAAAACAGAGAAAATTAAAATAAGGAGGAACCCATGAGATGATGCACAGGTCCTACCTGTTAGAGCATTGTTTTTATACTTCATCTTCACCTGTAGACAGGTGCATCCCCCCCCCCCCCCCCCCCCGAGAGATTACACCAAAATAGAATAAAAACTGACCCAGTACAATTAAGAGGTATATTAGTTTTCTCTCGTAATGTATATTGTTGGTACTACCAACTATGGCAGGCTGTTTTGACATTTATGAATATGACAAAATATGTATTTTTGATATCTTAAATACATTTTTTCAAGTCAAAATGAAGATATAAAACAAAACGACATTCTTCTTAACTAAACAAAATGTTATTGAGGTCTAAAAAAGAATTTCAGATTACTAAATTAATGTTAACAAAATTTTCATCATTTTGAACAAAGAAGAACTGATGTGTCACATATAAATACATACCTATAAATACAGTTCTATGAAACTTTATTAGTACAAATTTTGTTAACTTTTTAAAATTCAATATCTTATATCAAATATTTTTTACAGTTCTGACAGCTCCAGCTTTGACAGCTTTTCATACTTGTTATGCATGTGGTTAAAACTGAGTGGTTAGTTGGATTAAGCTAACTCACAGCAGCTGTTAAACCAATAACTCAGTTTCCAACCTTAGGCTTGATCAATTCAGAGTTGAGGATTTGAGTCAGTTGCTAAACCTGCTTTGTGAAACCTTAGGTCAGTTATGTACTGCGGATAAATCCAAATATTCCCACAATTGCTAACTATGCACTGTTTGTAGAGTCCAAATGAGCAAACTTCAGAGATGGTTTTGCATCATAGCCTGAATATTTGAAAATATATCAGTTTTTCTCCATCAGCATGCTTTCAATCCAAAAGATTTTGACCTTGTCATTCAAACTGCTACTTGACATAGAATTTTTTATAAAATCTATTTTCACCTAAAATGCTAAGACCGTAAATAATAGCGGGGATTGAACACTTTTGAATAGAGCTACCTGACAGTTTTATGCTGTAAAAAGTAGGTAATGGCATATTTTAAGAGCATAAAGTATAAAACTCTTGACAGACTTGAGACATTGTCAGCGTGGCAATGACTGGATCTATATGGTTGAATGAACCTGGCCTGATTCTGGACGGAAAAAACAACTCGGGTGGTATGAAAGTGGCAGACAGAGTACAGTGCATCCCACACACTGTCATAAGACATATCATAACATAACTCCTGTTCTGAAACCTTTGCACAGGTTTTAACAGCGCTATAATGTTGTGTTATCATAGTAGCAAGCAATACCCTCACACAGCCATAGGAATCAAATATTTCTCTACAAGACCCTTAATAAATATCCAACTGTTCTTTTGGTACAATTGTGGCAACATACTACATCCAACACACTTCACCTATTTACTATTAAATAATTTCAAATGTATCTTTGAAATTTATGCTTAGATATTTCTTCTGTTTTTCTTTGTTGCAGGATAGGAAATACAACCTTTGGGTGCACTAGAAAGCATCGTAAATACTTTTTTCCCCTTTTATTTTAGTTAGGAACCCAGATGAGATGTCCACTGTAGTGATAAATATATATACTGTATATATGAGTAAAGGATATCTAGAACGTGATAATTTGGCATGCATTGCTTCTTATAATTTAGTCAAAGCAATGTTAAGCAGCTGGGCTGAGGCCGACCACCACAGACGTCTGATAAATTACCTCTAAATATTGCAGCTTATTCCTCTGTAATGTGACGCCAGTGTTAGATTGCGAACTGACAGTCAGCTGCCATAACTAAAAGGATTTTCTGAGCTGCTGTAATTATAAGCTTTTGACTGTCTGTCTGGTGTTGACACAGCTTGTTTACTATGTCCCCTTGGAGTGGAACTGTATCTGTTTGTGGTCAGAGTGTCGGTTTTTAAGCCTTTTCAATATAACTTTAACATTGGGAATGAATTAGGACAGATGGTTAGGTGGATAGTGAACTAAATAAAGTTTAGTTATGCTCTATGCTTGAACTGCAACAATTGTTTAGTTACGCTGGTGAAGATTCTCAGTCATCCAGGTCATAGTCATTCCAAAAAAGTTAAAAAATAAGACTTTGTTTCCTAGTTTGTTTCCAAGTTTGAAGCCGTTTCGCTTAAAGCTTTGAACTCAACACCAATTCTGAAAAAGCTTCCTGGATGGGAAACGAAACGTCTTCACACTTGAGAGCAAAGTCCAGTGGATTGTTTTTTTTACTCGTCTGTCATACCTCACCACTTTAAAACCCATTCCTAATGTGATGCCTTACTTCAGTGTTAATGGAAATGTTTCTACTTTACTGATGTGATGAAATAAATTAAAAATTTCCCAACACTGACAATATCATCATTAACCTTAACCCCTGTATCTGCTACTTATACGCCTGCTTTTTTTCTTTCTCACTGAAGAATGTCATAGTTGTGCTTGCTCTTCCCATTCTGCATGCAAACTGCAGCCTAAAACTTCGATGCTTACTTTGGTCTCCCAGCAACCAGCACAGCCAAACCTGGACACTATTTGGAAGAGTGGTTTCTCTTTCATTACTCTGAGCTCCTTTGTTTCAGTACAACATACTACTTCCTCTAACTGGATATTGGATGTCTGTACCCATTATGTGATGGTTGAAATTTAACCCATTATCAACCCCATGGAGAAGTGGTTAAAGTTTTTAATTAGAATGAAGGGAACAGCCCCGTTTTAAACCCAGTTGCGTCAATGTAAAATATTTGCCATGTCGGAAGGATAATTTTCCAAAGATAACAATGAAACTATGTTGCCTGTTTCAATCCTATACTTGTAGTGGCTTTACAAAGAGAAAACAATCTTTGTATTCCATTGAACAAGACTATTCTGAGCATAAATCATTTATTGATCATTGATCTAACAGAGTATTACACATGCATTAGAAATTTCTAATATTAAAGACAGGATTTTATGTACATCTTTCTAAAATGTCTTCCGGCAAGACATTACACCCACATTCCACCTCATTGACTGATCACTCTGTGAACTGAAGGCGTACCCTTAATGGTGCGTTAATTAAAAACCATTCTATAAAATATTACAAAATGGAACTGGAAACTGCATGTGGGGTAAATATATAAATATATTATTATTCAAGTTAGTCAGTCATGAGGATCTACTTGTTTTATACTCTTATCCGAATTGATATTAGGTTGTTCTGACCTAATCTTAAGAAGAAAAATATATATTTGAATGTCTACCTAATGAAAATGTAGACGTAAACAATCAGTGATTTCATACCAGAACTTCTATCCTAGTTACCAAAAGAAAAAGATTAGATTCAGAAGATCATCAGTGCATTGCTTCTCAAGTATGGATTATAAAAAAACAAGAAACAGAATCGGAAGTAAGTTGGATGAGGAATTGAAAGCTGAGTCATAAAACCAGATAAGTTTTTTATACTCAGAGGAGTTTACATCACTTATCTGCCTCTTTTTCGGACATGCTTTTTTCCCCTTCTATCGACCAATAAAGGACAGCGATATTAATAGTCAGCAGCTAGCCTGTGTGTTCACGAGAGCATGTATATTTAGCTTTGTGGGGTCTTTAGCTCCCCAGCCAGTGTTCTCTTACTGTGGGAAAAACATTGTGCTGAGTGGAGTTTCTCAATCCCTGCATGTAAGACTCAACTATGTTTTGCATTTCTGGCTCCCGCAAAATTAACATCAGTGTTTCGCATTTAAATGTACAACTAAAGTCAAAAAGTACATTTTTTTTTATGTTGTTTATGTTCAGGAGCTGATGAGCAGGACTTCTCTGGAGACTCAGAAGCTGGATCTGATGGACGAAGTGTCCTACCTGAAACTGAAGCTGGTCACCATGGAGGAGACGCGAACCAACACAAACCCACAGGATGCCGCCGACACAAAGAACAACAAAGCTGAGGTAAGGAATGTCAGCAAACTTATCCTGCTTTAATCAAACGTATCTCCTAGAAACACATTATCTTATAAGTTAAACAATTAAGCAAAAATGATCGGCTTTTAAACAAAACTTATGTTACTGATTTCTTTTCTAAAAAGATAAGCTGTTGCTCATTGTTTTGAAAAGCCTTGACAAAACTAAAAGTTTTCTTAAGATTTTTGACAATTTTCTCATGATGGTTTGTCTTTTCTTTCATTTTATGACTTCCTTACTAATATTGCAGATATGTGTGGTATAGCTTTGGGGCATCGAGGCGTGCTTCATATTAATGTATGTCATTTACTTAATATATTGTAGCGTTTTTGGTTGCAGATCAAACTTCTGAGTCACCAGAGAAATCCAGCTTGGGGGGGGATTGCAGCTGAATTAATTCTAAGCAGATTGCCAGAGTCAGTAATGCAAGAACGAGTGTCTTTCCACTGCAGGAGGTTTATTTTTGAGACAGGAAGTGTTACTAGTCAAAGTTATCTAAAATTTAACTTACTAAAAGTATGAATTGATTTTAAACTCCTTTCTGTTCTTTGTTTTTAACCTTTTTGGATCGTTTGGTTTTCTGTTGTCCGGGAGGCAACTGCTGAAAGGAATCAAAGCTTCTATAATGTGTTAGAGAGTGTTTAATCCCCTTATGTCTCTATGATACCCACCTGTTGGTTGATAAGTGATGGCCTCAGGAAGGAGGAGTGTGAAAATCAGGGCTTAATGTGAACAGAGTCTGTTTGTTATAGAAGTTTGGTGTTTTTCAGCCAGTTACAGTGGAGTGAAAGAAAAAGGATAAAAAAAAGCAAAAAAAGAAAAGTCACATCTGGAATCTACAGCTCTAAAGTCTACAGATTGGTTGTGTGTGTGGCATTAACCCATACATGCTATTTTTATTGTTTTATTTGATCTGTGTCGTTTTTATTGATTGGAATTATTATTGTTTTTCATTTTTTTTCCTAAAATGTTGAAAAGTGGAACAAACTACTGGGCACTAATTTTATTTTATTTTTTTGCATTTCAATGGACTGTAATTATTCAGCGGCCTTATTGAAATGAACTTAACTTGGTTGGACATTTATTTTTTTTATAAGGTGCTTCTAAACCTTTTCCTTTTGGAGCCATCAACAAGCTCCTGGCTGCTGGGAATTTAACTCTCCTTTTTTATAGAAATAATTGTTAAAAGAAAACCTCTAAGTTTTTTATTTTGGCGCTACAAGCTCATACAATTAAATGTTCTTATAACATGGGGATTATCTTTCCCTCGTTATCTGTCAGTCAATGGTTTTGTTACATCTTTCACTGTTTTTCTGTCATCACCTCCTTTTTTTTTTTTTAAAGACTGACACACAAAGACTGTGTTCACAAATTACTATAATGAATATGCCAAATAACTCATTATTAGCTCTGAATGTCCAAAGCAAACGTCCCCTATGAATTCTGAAACATCTAGCTTATAATAAACTCTTTATCAAGGCAAGGATTAGCTCAGTTAAAACAACTGGATCAATTCACACATGACATTTGGTCGCCTTATCGCTGACGTAGCCGATGTGTTGCAAATACTGTGATCGTAGACTCTGCTCAGTTCAAACTACATTAATTACTTCACACATCCAATAATGCTCTCCTCATTCAAACACAAAAATATATATATATATATATATCAAAACACCAGAAATGCATTTAAAGTAGGTTTAAAACAATTGATTAAATGAATTGTTAATAATCTATTATTGAAATCATCAACTAATTTAATAATCCAATAATAGTTATCTGTAGTGTAGAGACTCTGAAACATGCGTTTAACTGGCAGAGCGACCCACTTAAGAGGAGTATTTGTACCAAAACTGTAGAAAAAATATAGAAACATTTTGCCTTTAGGATAAAAAAAATTTTTGTCTGTAAATAAGCTCTATACTGAACTCAAGTGGAAAGCTTTTAGTCTTGCTTGGTTTAATTTGTTTAAAAGTCTTCTTTAAGGCAATTCAATTATTAATCTACAAAAAAAATAATCAACAAATTAATCAATTGACCCTTATTGAATCCATTATTGAAATTATCATGAACTAATTCAGTAATAGATTAATTGTTAACTGGAGTATAGAGACTCTAAAACGTGCCTTTAAATGACAGAGTGACCCACTTAGAGTAGTAATTATACCAAAATTATAAAAAAAATATATGTAAAGATTTTGCATTTAAGATAAAAGATCTTTTATGTCGATCAATATGCTCTTCAAGTGGTAGAGAGTTAGTTTCACCTGGTTTAATTACACAAAAAGTCTTCTTCAAGGAACTTTTGACTATCCGATTGTTAGTTAATTAATCAAAAAATGTAATCGAAAGATTAATCGATTTGCAAAATAATCATTAGTTGCTGAACTAAATACGATATTGATACTTAAATATTGTTCAACCTTACCTTATACCATTTATACAAAAAAAGTAAAGTGCAATTCATAAAAAAACTTTAGGTTTAGTAAATTAGTAGTAGTAAAAACTACTTTACTACTACTGCTTTTCTAGTCAGACTTTTTACAGTGAGTTGGTAGAACTATTTCTGGTTAGATAAAAGATTGTATCCCATAATGTAGGAGATAATGACAGATGTTTTTAAACTTTATGACATCTAAACAGTCACAGCAGCTGCATTCGAACCTGTTGAGATTTAATTTATAGAAAGTGAAAGGTTGCGTGCAGTCAGCAGAGGTTCTGCTCAGGTTAGCAGGGAGTTTCTGCTCCACTGAAGGCAAAAACAATCCTATTAAGGACTTTGTGGGTCTCATATAATAATGCTCATATGATTCCACCCCGCTGTTATCTGTTGAGTCTTTATTTGTCTTGGCTGCTTTCTTTGTGTTCATTTTGTTCATCGTGACACTTGGCTGCTCCCCACTGGCTCAGCAGATCCTGAGACTGCTCCTGCGGCTCGCTCATGTGTGCCTTTGAGCATGACGATGTTTTTACCCTACAAGCTTGATGAAGCCTTTTAGATGCTCAGAGGCCAGTGATATGTGGATGGAAAGTGATAAGCATCAGTGATGGCAGACAGAGAGGATGTAGCAGCTAGTGGGGGAGGTAAAATGATTAAAACGGAAAAGGTCAGCATGGAAAACATGTTTGCCAAAGAAACCTGTCCTACAAGACAAGCTACCGTTAGCATAACATATATTTGCATTACAAATTATTTTGCATAAAAATGTCAGCAGTCTGATTCTGCAGCGAATCCCTGTTGTAATCAAAACTGTCATAACAACGTTTAATCATCTCTATCTCTTTCCTCTTGTCTGTCGTCCTATTCTGGTAGATATTGAAATAGTTTTCAGACCTTTATCAGAAAATAAAAAACACTTTTTTTAATGAGCAGATAGAGTACTTAGATTGTTTTCGTGGTTTCTGTGTGATGTGTTCATGGCCGTAGCAAGTGGGGTCGCTAGGGGTGCTGCAGTACCTCCTAATGGAGAGAGGGAGATAAAAAAAAAAATCTTTTTAAAAAATACTTTACACAATTCATACATTTCTTATTAATATTTTGGGAAATTATTTTGCCTTTTTTAAATTACTATTACGTGTATTTGGGTTTTTATTTAATTCCTTTGAGGCCCAATCAACACAAGTTCACTGAAGTCACGTTGTCACTGCAACGTCAAGCAAGCTAGTGGTCGCTGAGTAGAGAGGTATCCCGCTTGTCGCAGCAGAGTAGTAAAGTTACAAAGTCTAATGACAGAAAGAGAAGGAAATATGGAGCAGAAACGCATTTCGGTTTCGTCCTCTCAGAGCGCACCTCATCATTTGGCACCCTGCTGTAATATACACTGAACTGTATATGACAATACAGTAGGCAATCTCAATCAGTTTAATTATTTTTTTTTTCATTTTTATTGTATTAAGGCTATAGGCTCATAGGTATTTTGTCCAAAAAAAAAAAAAAAAAATTTCACTGCACTCCCCCATTTAAAAGTACTTCCTGGATACGCTTGTATTTAGAGGAATAGATTGTTAGCTTGGCCAGTGAGCGTTTCAGGGACGTCACTGACCAGACTGATGATGTGTTCATCCACTGATGAAAGGGAAAATATTTTTGTTGGTTATGAGTATTTTTTTGCTTGTTGGAAAGTTTGATTTTATTTTGTATAGAAGTTCACGAATGAGGGGAAGATGGAGCGGGAGATAGGTAGGCGGATTGGTGCAGCATCTGTTGTGATGAAGAGAGAGCTGAGTCAAAAAGCAAAGCTTTCGATTTACCGGTCGATCTACGTTTCTACCCTCATCTATGGTCATGAGCTTTGGGCCATGACCGAAAGAACGAGATCCCGGATACAAGAAGCTGAAATGAGTTTTCTCCACAGTATGTCTGGGCTCTCCCTTAGAGATAGTGTGAGGATCTCAGTAATCCGAGGAGGACTCAGAGTAGAGCCACTGCTCCTCCGTGTCAAGAGGAGCCAGTTGAGGTGGCTCGGGCATCTGATTACGATGCCTCCTGGACGTCTCCCTGGTGTGGTGTTCCTAGCACGTCCCGGGAGGAGACCCAGGACACGCTGGAGGGACTATGTTTCTCAGTTGGCCTGGGAGCGCCTTGGGGTTCCCCCGGAGAACCTGGCCTAAGCGTGGGCCTCCCTACTGAAGCTGAAGCTGAAGAAGATGGATGGATGGATTGGATGTATAGACGTTATTTAAATTGAAAGTCAATAGCTGCCACACAGACGCAGACAAAAAAAATTAGAAAGACACAGTATTTGATTTTTTTTTTTTTTTTTTTTTTTTTTAGAGAATAACCATTCAATTATTTTAAGGCTGATGCTGAAAATATTTTGACATCAATCAGTAATGTCCTGCTGATAAATGTTCTCCACTTGCTTTGCAAAATGGGCACAGTGATTAAGAAATATTAAACTATTCTAAATTTAAACAAAAAGTAACATTTATGATAGTTAATGGAAGGAATCTCAGGTAAGCGCTTCATCTGATCTCCAGGCATCGCTGCTGGATGCGCTAATGAATTGGCCAAAGCGTGCATGGATCAGCTGATGCAGATACAAGAAAAATATCGACCAGCCAATAAATCGGTCTCTAGATTTTTTTTAAATCAGTTTTAACTCTCATCATTATTAATGAAATAACTTACTGTACAAATACACACAGACTTGCCCTCTGCACAGACAAAATGGATACTGTATAGTATAGATTGTAGATGGCTTACTTGTGCACTGTGAATCAGAGGTGTGCAGCCACACACAGCTGATGTGTGATGTAAAAAGTTAAATTTAATACAGGCTGTTTGAAGCACATCATTTGCTACCAGTCTGTTTTACCTTCAATCATTTGTGAAAAGTGATCAAATATCTTCTGAAAGTGGTGCACAGGTAAAAGACGTTTTCTCGAATGTTAAACTATGCATCTGGAAGTTTCTGGTATTACAATAATTGAAATTTCTGCTCCTTTCATATCTTGATAGAGCAGAGATAGTGATGGAGTCACCAGGGTTCTCATTTATAAAGCTTGTGAACAAACAAAACCGCCTTCATGCAAATGTTGTGATCTATTAAAATCAAACTTGGCGTGAAAATGTGCAGCATTCATGGCTGAATGTGGGCATGTAGAGAGCTAAAGGCTCGATCCTTGGAGGCAAACTTTGAGGTAGAGCTCTGATCTATAAAGGAGAGGTATTTGGTTTTATTTGTGCGCTTGGTTTTATAAACCAGGACGTTTTTGCCATACTCCTTTCTGTACGTGCCCTTTTTTGCTCTATACAGATGGGAGCACTTGTGTGCATTTTGTCATTAAAGGCGGCGTTGTATGTTTTGTGCGTGCTCGGTAACAGCTGCCAGGCTCCAGTGAGCTGTCAGGAGGAATGATGGGTATCCGTTCTGAGCATTCCTGGGGGTAAAACACTTTCACCTCAGGAAACCACACCAGCACAAAAGACAAGCTTGCTGCCGACTGTCGAAGGCCTGGGAATGAGGCCCTGTGTTTGATGGTTAATTTTCCAGGTTAAGCAAACAGGCTGCTAAAAGAGTTCACATGATTTGTATAGAAGAACAACTATGTACCAAACTGCTTCTGTATCCATCTCTCAATGCCTGTCTTGATCTAGTCTCACCGAGTTCACTTGATGATCTTAACTTTATAAGTTAAAAGGGCACATTTAAAAATTAACATTGCAAACCCTACAGTCTAAAGTCTAAAAGGGAAATTTATCTGCTTGGAGCAAACCTTTTCCTGCAAATACATTTTTTTCCCCATTTTTATGGAATTAATTGCCTTTATTTATGAGGAGGCATTTATTTTTTGTGTGCTTGACCTGCTCCACCACCGTGTCTCACACTATCATCGATATCTCCCACAAACAAACACTCTTGTTAAGCTTTTGATTCTTCATTACTATTTATTATTTTATCAGTACTGTTTTGAAGTTATATTTAACTGTTTAATGTGTACAAATAAGCTATTATGAAAGAAAGGAGCAGGAAAAGGAAAATTTGTATAATCTACCGCTTCTCATAAGATCTGTTTGTTAAAACATAGACATAAATTAAGCAGTCGTATACTTAGGCCTACCTCCTTAAAACCAAGCATGCAATAAAACAGTCCTTCCTTATGATACCATTATCCACTGATTTAATGTCTCTGTATCTTAATAGCAAATTATATTTGATTAATCTCTTAAAAATAAAAGTTGAGCTAATTCACGGAATTCCATCAACTTTAAGTTTAGGAATAATTGCTTTGTTGGACTCAATGGATTAATAAGTATTAGAAATAACTTAAACTGACTAAAGCTATTTTTAATATCATATCCTTTTTCATTAAATGTCCATAGTTTAAAATTTTATTTCATAATTTCTAGCCCTAACTACGATTTGCACTATAGTAAACGTTTTTTTTTCAGCTCAACATTTAATCCTTAAAGACTTATTTTAGTAAGAACAAAATTTTCCCTCCAAAAAGTGGCCTAGCACAGCAACAGCATCCTGCATAGCTAAAAATAATCCCAGTGTCAAATAATTGAAAAAAAAAAACATGCAATAGAATTTTTCTCTCATAAGGTTAAAGCACAGTTGAATATAATGAAGCTATAATGAACATTTGATTTTTTTGGGGGGGTCCATTGTTAGCAGAAGTCTATCCAAATTACATTGAATTCTTTTAGAAATATCAATGTATAGTTAGAAAAAAAATTTAATTTAAAATAACATTTAATTTACTTCATTTACTTACTTAAAAATGAAAAAGCCTAGAGAGCTGTGCTAAATCTAAAATATTTTTTGTATACACTTATGTGTACAAAAAGCAGAATACAGCTGCATCTCTAGGTCTAGTTTTTATAATCTCTTTATAGTATTGATTTATTTCTCCTTTCTCTTCCATCCATCTCTCCATTTGACATGGTCTCTAATTTTTTCCTCCATCCCTGCCAGTGTGTGGTAAATCTCATCAGTGAGCTCCAGGAGCAGATGTGCAAGTTTCATGAAGAGATCAGCACTCGCATCCAGGAGAAACGAGCCCTCGAGGAGAAGGAAGCCCAGCAGGGGGACCTGGGTGGCGGCCCGGCTCAGGGCTGCGACCCTATTGCCGGGTCCAACCCGAGCGGCGCTTCGCTGAAACGCAGTGGAGAGAGACATACTGTGCCTGTACGGAAACTGATGGTGGATGAACTCCTCTTACGATACGTCCACCATCCTTCCTTCTCTTCTTCTCTCCCCTTTTAACCAGTCCACAAACCCCCTGCTGGTATTTGGAGTTTTCCACAAAATCAAACTAACAACCTCTCTTTTTGTGCGTGTTTGGATTCTCTACAGTTTGTTTCTTGCAGGATGTTGGGGTGATGCTCTGCTGGAAGCATTTCATTTTCCAAATGCAATCACTCATTTGAGGAGCCACAAATCATTAGGGGCTTTAAAATGGGGACATTTGCAGCACCCACCACAAACACTGGTATTCTTGGTCAAAATGTGTCAAATACAAAAATTTATTTATTGAAGAAGCATAATATCAGACTTGAATTTCTTTAATCAGGGAGCAAGGAACTTTTTTCAAAAATTTGCATTTTGTCCACATGATGACCTGCGCTACAGTGCATAAAAGGTACTTTGATGCGACTCTCTAGTATCTTTCAGGTAGTTATTAAAAACTTGCTGTGTCCTCCTGAATAAAACTATGATGTTAAAGCATCATATTAACCACTGGTTAAAAGCTTTAGCTACAATTAGGTCCTGTTCTTCAGATATTCCAAGAAGGGTTCACTAAACTGCATTTAGAATTTTGTTTTAGCACGTGCAATTAGTTGCCGTGATTTTGGTGATCTACAGAACTTGCTGCACAAATATTAAGTTGTACAACCCAATTTGTTTTTGCCTGTTAAAAGGATCAGATGTGTGCAGTTTACTTTCAGTTTGAGAGTAGCTGTAAAAGAAGGATGAGGTTCTAAGCCATGGAGATGGAGGTTATAATGATGAGAATTATTTAGAAAATAATAATTAGGATAGGTAATAATATTTATTGAGCACTTGACATAGGTAGATTATCTCTAAATGCTACAAAAAAAAGAAAAGATAAATAAGAACACTCAGGTTATATATAAAAAATGGAAATATCCTAAAACATAAAGTTTTCTTTAACTGAAGGAGGACAAAGAAAACTGCATGTCTCTTTAACAGTAAATACAGCCGACTTGTAACGGTGCACAAGTGCAATAAAGCTGTGACACGTGTAGCCCATGCATGCCGCTTTGCTGCACTTAGGTCCTGTTACGCTCCCGTGTATTTACTCCTTTTGCAGGCTCTTCTGATATGTTTTTCTTTTCTTTTTTTTTTTATTATGCCACGTTAATGGAATTCTGTCATTTTCTTTGTTTTGGTTTAATATCATAAACATTGCCTGAAGTTTTCTTTATTAATATTATATTATTAGTTTTATTTCTGAGATTCCAAATGTGTTTTACAGAATCTCTCCATCGTCTGTTTGCTTGTCAGTTTTTTCCTGACTTTCAGAAGTACAAAAAAAAGGCATTTGAATTTCAGTTGCAGTTTTCAGCTTTCTTATTCAGAAAATATTCTGATAACTGGGAGGTATGGGGATAATCTGTAATGTTTTGGGTCTGGTTCTTTCCCAAACTTTATAGAAACTGGGTTGGAATTCATGGCCTCATTGGTCTATTTTCTTTTTAAGCTTCCAACGAATTTATGAAATAAAAATCTGTTGGAATGAAACATTTTTCAAAGATGTTAAGCCAGATTAGAACATAGCATTTACAGCATGTAGAAATAAAGATGCTATGAATGGAATAGCTTTACTGATTGAATACATGTCATTTAAATTTAGGTTGGATATGTTGCTATGAAAGACTATGCTTCTGCAGTAAAAACAAAAAAAGCAAAACATGAATTGGATTCCCTTGCTGCATGTTTTGACCATGGTTGCCAATATGTCTAAAGGATGCTCTAACTCTTTGAGGCTAGATCCTCGGGAATCTTTTTCTGCTTTTAAACTGGAAATACCAGAAACATTTGGAAAATATTTTCAAAATGAATCTCTCTTTTCCTCTTCAAATCAGTGTTTTGGGGTCAATGTTGTGGTTTTTATTGGATTTGATCTGGTTTGTTTGCATGTTGATCATTATTCTGGTTACTAACAAAGTTTGTCTGCTTCCTCCTACTTTGACCAGGTGGATGGGTCATATAACAATAATTATACATTTTCAAGGTTCCCCTCGTACAGCGTCTGCTGGCAGACGTGCCGCCTGGACGCCTTCCAGTCATGTTTTATGGGTTTATGCTTTCCCTGGCTGCTGATAACCGCACGCTGTGGTGTCTGTTTCAGGAGGATTATGTTTTCCCCATATTAACCAGAGCACTGTCCAGCCCTGGAGAACTCTTATAACCGGACTGAACATTAGTCTGATCTTTACATATGATCCAGTTCATATGTTGGCATGTATCCAACCCAACACTGTTGATGAGAAACTGCTGCTCATTGTGGGACCTATAAGAAACATGCATCATTTTGTAGATCTTACTGTTAAGCTTGATGCATGTGTTTTGTCTGCAGGATTTGCTTCAAGAAGTCAAACATCTGACAAGCAAAGTGCAGGGGCTGGAGGGAGAAAAGAGCCTGTATGAAAGGAAGCTCAGAGCCACCAAGGTACATGGAGTGAATTAGCTCTGCTCGCGCCTGGATGCACATGTCATCGGTTGTGTTTTACCAGGAACAGCTGCAGAAAAAGAAACAGATGTTCTCTGTCCTCTCTTTCTGATGCTGGCTGTGAGTCTTTTATGGGCTCATTATATCATATCTTTATCAGAGATCACAGAGGAGGCTAATGTAGGCTGAAGTAAACTGTGAAAGTGTTGAAGGAGAGAAGTTTCCAAAGAACAAACGGCACACCGGATGTTTCTGTCCTGCAAATAAACATTTAGACAGGAGTTTTGTAAGCGTTAGATTGGATTTTTTTTCCTTTCCTCTGGTCTATATATTGTTTATTTATTAACATCTTAAGGCATACACATAGTTATACTTTTATACTTTTTTATGTTTAAATGGATCTGAGCATGAATTCCTAATTTTTAATTCAGGGTGGAAATGCTTAATTTTTTGAAACGGATGATAATTTGAACATTTCAATCGAAAATGCGTTAAAAGTAACCTCATGGTAAAACCTTTCCTCTAGAGAAGATACAAGAAACATTTTAAATTTAAATTAACATCATTAACACAGTTGATTTTGCAACATTTGTCTGTTTTTTTCTTAAAAGCTTTTCACAATGAATGATTTTGAAACTAATTTGGGAAAGTTTCACCTTAGTTTACTAAATATACATGGTCTGATTTTGCAGACAAGTGATGGGTAGATGTATAATTTGTTTGGAAATGAGCACAGGGCATACAGTGATTACATCATGTCACGCTGTAGATGCCGAAGACATTGACGCGATAAAGTTTGATTTGGTGTTACTGTGATTTAAAGGGATCCTAAGCTAGTTATATAGTTTGCCCTAAATATGTTGGATTACTCCTATTACTGCAAAAATTGCAATTTATGATAAATAAAAAATATAAATTCTGCATCGTTTTTTTTTTATATGTTTCACTCATTGAGGTCGCCATTTTTTAGCAGTGCAATGCATGCTGGGTTGATGATGCGTTAGGTCTGATTTTCCTGGAACCTATAGAGTAAAAACAGGAAGGCTAAAAGTAGTCATTTTTTAACGTAATGTGTTTGACTGGTGTTAATGCAGACAATACTACATTGCTTCATTTGTTTTGTTTTTTTATGAACTGTTAAATGTAAGGTAGCTGTTAAAATAAACAAAAGTGATTGGCTTGTGATCTACGGTTTACTATTAGCCAGAGCTAACACCAACATGAAAAAAACCAATCGAATCGGAACGTAATGAACGACTATTTAAAATGACAGTGAAGCATAATTCAGTAACTCATTGTTCTTATATCAGAGAAAATGTTTTTAACCCGATGCTAACTTTAAAAAGCCTCAGTTAGCAACTGGAGCGCTTTGTAGCATAGCTCTCCGTCGGAGTTAGTATCTAGTAGCAGCAGCCGCACAAACACTAGCTGCTTTCTCCGACTTCTCTCTTCCGTTTGGTCGTACTAATTTCATTCATCAAATTCAACACTTTCCAGTTAAAACTTTGACGTTACTGTTTGATGTTTTGGCTGGATGGAAGTAGCGCTACAGAACCTAGCATATTTCATTTATACGTCATTTAATGCGTTGCAGGGTAAACAACTTGGGGATGTCCGTGTGACAATATTTTTATTACATTTATAAATATATTCGATAATTTAACCCATCCCCTTGGGGAGCAGTGGGCTGCCATTGTGCGACGCCTGGGGAGCAGTCTGGGGTTAAGGGTCTTGCTCAGGGGCCCAGAGTGGGACCCAAGCGCTGGAGTCCTCCGGGACCAAACGTAATGCTCTAATAGGGTTGCCAACCATACCTTGAAAAATGGGATTGTTCCGTATTTAGAAAAAGAAATACCTGTCCTGTTTTTAGTGGAAAAGGACGCACTTTCCCCGTATTACCGTGAGAGTAAAAAAAATAGTCAGTAAAAAACTAGTTTAAAATGAAGTTTAAGGGCACATTAGATACAAAACCTAAGGTATATTGTTCCCAGGCCCCTGACCTGCATGGTGATCAATGAGCTGACAACAAATATGTATCGATCCAGAATTCCCCTCATCCTCATAATGTTTTTTTTTTTCTGTTTTACAACCGTAGCCTACTGTACATTTATTGCATTTGAGGCACAAATATGTTTACAAGTTTGCACAAGTTTGCTGTTGCACCAAAAATTTGCACTTAATATTCAGTTTTACAGTTTGAAGTTAAGCAGGACAAGGTTATGTTTAAGATACTTATTTTATTCAGCAAAGTTTATTTTGTAATAAAGTGAATTGCTGGATAATAATTTGTTTTCCATGTGTTTATCTTATACACAAATATGAATGTAATGCAATCAAAGGCAATCGGGTCAAAGGTGTCCCTTTTTTTTTTTTAGGGAGTTGGCAACCCTGTGCTCTAACCACTAGGACATCGCTCCCTAGAAAACTAAACAGCTATACAGTATTTTTATGATATTTACATCAGAAATGGATGTTTCTGAAATAAGATCTATTGGGACAAATAATCCTGGATCCCTTTATAATGGGAAGTTATGGCAGGGATTCGTTCTAGTATCCATATTTAAATCCTGATACGACCAAAGGGCTGAAATGAATTCACAAAATGTTTTTATCACATTTTGTAAAAAGCATAAGCATCAAATTAAACTTAAAAAAATGAAAAAATGAAAATGTACTGAGAACTCTTCATACGTTGTTATGGAATAGGGAACATTTGATCCATGGATCCAATGGAGAATGTCATTTTAATCATTTTAGGAATACTGCACCCTAACTTATCATTTTGACTGATTCTTGGATGCCTAATAACTGCCTCTAATAAAGAAAGCTGGTAACAATGTCCGATCTTTGCAAACAAATTATTTCCATTCATCACAGGTTATCATTTGTTTAAATCTGATGAATGATTCATATTTTCTAACACTTTTTTTAGTAAATGGTTTTGCTGTTGAACAGAGAAATTAAGAACTAAACAGTCTAACATTTTGCTTTTCTGCGCTCACAGTGCTCCCTTCCTTTTTTCACTCTTTCCTCTTTTCTCCTTTATTAACTCTTTTCTGTAATTTGCTCCCCCCCACCTGTGAAACCCCTCTTCCTGTTGTCCTCTCTAGCTCTCCATCTCTTACTCTCTCCATGTGTGTTACCAGTCGCTCATGACCCAGCTGTCCAGCCTCAAGCTGACTGTGGAGCACACACAGCTGGAGAAGCAGCACTGGGAGGAGCGCTGGCGCAGCGCACAGGTGCCTCCTCTTCCTCCTGCTCTTCGCTCTCCTTGCCTCTTTCAGTTTTTTTTTTTTTTGTCCTAATGAGATGCCTGCCTCTTCTTTTCAAGCTCGTCTCCAACGTTGCGCTTTGTGTTTCTTCCCATTGGATATTAAGATAACTTGGAGTTTGTCAAGATAGATTGAAAAATTAAGGCATTTTTTATTTTTTCAATTCTTCAGCTTGAAGTTAGTGTGTATTCGCTTTGATGTTCGGAAGCAGACCCTTAAAATCAATTGACCTCTCGTTCTTTTAGTCGGCCTTTTTTATGCAAGTCTGGATGGACCATGTTGCTGCTTATGATGCTAATGTCATTGCATAAGCTGTATTTGTGTGAGACGAGATATTTTATTTCTGTTCTGTCAAGTAAATAACTTTGTGGCGGCTCTGATTCTTTTATTTTCTGAAACCTTTTAATTATGTCATATTACTTTAGTCCCCTTTTAACAAGCTGATAAAAAGTATCGCTTAGTGCACTAAGTTCAAACATAAATAACTATGACCTGGTGGTTGTAAAGTTAACATGTAGGCCCTTTGAATTACACTGTGATTTTGGCTGCTTCCTCCTTCATTGTACAGGTGCTGGTCATAAAATTAGAATATCATGAAAAAGTAGATTAATTTCAGTAATTCCATTTAAAAAGTGAAACTTGTATATTATATTCATACATTACATACAAACTCATATATTTCAGATGTTTATTTTGTTTAATTTTGATGATTACAAATGACAACAAATGAAAATCTCAAATTCATCATATCAGAAAATTAGAATATTACTGAAGACCAATAAAAACAAAGGATTTATAGAAATGTTGGCCAACTGAAAAGTATGAACATGAAAAGTATGAGCATGTACAGCACTCAGTATTTAGTTGGGCCTCCTTTGGCCTGTATTACTGCAGCAATGCGGCGTGGCATGGAGTCGATCAGTCTGTGGCACTGCTCAGGTGTTATGATAGCCCAGGTTGCTCTAATAGTGGCTTTTAGCTCTTCTGAATTGTTGGGTCTGGTGTATTGCATCTTCTTCTTCACAATACCCCATAGATTTTCTATGGGGTTAAGGTCAGGAGAGTTTGCTGGCCAATTAAGAACAGGGATACCATGGTCCTTCAACCAGGTACTGGTAGCTTTGGCACTGTGTGCAGGTGCCAAGTCCTGTTGGAAAATGAAATCTGCATCTCCAAAAAGTTGGTCAGCTGCAGGAAGCATGAAGTGCTCTAAAACTTCCTGGTATGTGGCTGCGTTGACCCTGGACCTCAGAAAACACAATGGACCAACACCAGCAGATGACATGGCACCCCAAACCATCACTGACTGTGGAAACTTTACACTGGACTTCAAGCAACGTGGATGAAGTGCCTCTCTTCTTTTCCTCCAGACTCTGGGACCTTGATTTCCAAAGGAAATGCAAAATTTACTTTCATCAGAGAACATGACTTTGGACCACTCACCAGCAGTCCAGTCCTGTTTCTCTTTAGCCCAGGCAAGACGCTTCTGACGCTGTCTGTGGTTCAAGAGTGGCTTGACACAAGGAATGCGACAGCAGAAACCCATGTCTTTCATACGTCTGTGTGTGGTGGTTCTTGAAGCACTCACTCCAGCTGCAGTCCACTCTTTGTGAATCTCCCCCACATTTTTGAAGGGGTTTTGTTTCACAATCCTCTCCAGGGTGCGGTTATCTCTCTTGCTTGTACACTTTTTTCGACTACATCTTTTCCTTCCCTTCGCCTCTCTATTAATGTGCTTGGACACTGAGCTCTGTGAACAGCCAGCCTCTTTAGCGATGACCTTTTGTGTCTTGCCCTCCTTGTGCAAGGTGTCGATGGTCGTCTTTTGGACAACTGTCAAGTCAGCAGTCTTCCCCATGATTGTGTAGCCTATAGAACTAGACTGAAAGACCGTTTAAAGGCTTTTGCAGGTGGTTTGAGTTAATTAGCTGATTAGAGTGTGGCACCAGGGGCCATCAATTTTGAACCTTTTCACAATATTCTAATTTTCTGATATGATGAATTTGAGATTTTCATTTGTTGTCATTTGTAATCATCAAAATTAAACAAAATAAACATCTGAAATATATGAGTTTGTATGTAATGTATGAATATAATATACAAGTTTCACTTTTTAAATGGAATTACTGAAATCAATCTACTTTTTCATGATATTCTAATTTTATGACCAGCACCTGTAGACTTCTATTATAGGCATTAAGGTTGCTTTTGAAAAGCAGCTTTAGGAGGCATTAAACTAAATTGCAAAGCAGGCCAGGAAAAGCACACAAGCCTGCGCATCAACCCATCTTTTGACACCTGTTTTATGAAGCTTAACAAAGAGCTGCTCCTTTTAAGACTGTTTGCTATCAGGCACAGGAATGCACTTGCTTAAAAGGTTGAATTGGTAAAAATTATCTATTTTAGGATTTTCCATTGGGAACATCATATGGTGAGAATGATAAGGATAAAAGCTCTGTTTTTGGTCCTACTGTACTTCCAAATCTTTAACAGGGAACACCACATTACAATTATGTTTTGTTATACTGTTCTCTCATATAGTGCCTGGCAAACTTAGTATATATTAATTTAACTTTTAATTTTATCATGTAACGATTGTATATTTTGTTTGATCAATACTGTGTGGCTTGCCAAATGGGTCGCCAAGTTTTTAGAGGGCATTAATGGCACAACTTCGTGTTAGACAGCTGTCATGTCTCATTTTTATGTCAAAGATTTCAACGCAACAGAATTTCTCTTCATCACTTTGTCATTCATTAAGCTGAGTAATAATATTAGCATATGATAAAGTTGATTATTTTCCATAATGTAATGATGAAACTTGAACATTCATATATTTTAGATTCTTTGCACACTAACTGAAATATTCAGGTCTTTTATTATCTTAATACGGATGATTTTGGCATACAGCTCATGAAAACACCAAATTCCTATCTCACAAAATTAGCATATATTATCCGACCAATAAAAGAAAAGTGTTCCTAATACAAAAAAAAGTCAACCTTCAAATAATTGTGTACAGTTATGCGCTCAATACTTCGTCTGAAATCCTTTTGGAGAAATAACTGCTTCAATGCGGCGTGGCATGGAGGCAATCAGCCAGTGGCACTGCTGAGGTGTTATGGAGGCCCAGGATGCTTCGATAGCGGCCTTTAGCTCATCCACAGTGTTGGGTATTGCGTCTCTCAACTTTCACTTCACAATATCCCTCAGATTCTCTATGGGGTTCAGGTCAGGAGAGTTGGTAGGCCAATTGAGCACAGTCATACCAGTGTTTTTGGCACTGTGAGCAGTTACCATTCATGCTGAAAAACTAAATCTTCATCTCCATAAAGCTTTTTAGCAGATGGGAGCATGAAGTGCTCCAAAATCTCCTGATAGCTGCATTGACCCTGCCCTTGATAAAGCACAGTGAACCAACACCAGCAGCTGACAGGGCGCCCCAGACCATCACTGACTGTGGGTACTTGACACTGGACTTCTGGCATTTCCTTCTCCCCAGTCTTCCTCCAGACTCTGGCACATTGATTTCCAAATGACTGAGAAAACTGAGCAACAGTCCAGTGCTGCTTCTCTGTAGCCCAGGTCAGGCACCTCTGCCGCTGTTTCTGGTTCAAAAGTGACCTGTAGCCCATTTCCTGCACACGCCTGTGCACGGTGGCTCTGGATGTTTCTACTCCAGACTCAGTCCACTGCTTCTGCAGGTCAACCAAGGTCTGGAATCGGCCCTTCTCCACTATCTTCCTCAGAGGTCGATCACCTCTTCTCATTGTGCAGCGTTTTCTGCCACTTTTTCCTTCCCACTGAGGTGCCTTGATACAGCAGCACTCTGGGATCAGCCTATTGGTTCAGAAATATCTTTCTGTGTCACACCCTCTTGCTTCAGGGTGTCAATGATGGCCTTCTGGACACAGTCAGGTCGGCAGTCTTACCCATGATTGAGGTTTTGAGTAATGAACCAGGCTGGGAGTTTTAAAGGCCTCAGGAATCTTTTGCAGGTGTTTATAGTTAATTTGTAGATTCAGATGATTAGGTGCATGGCTCCTTTAGAGACCTTTTTCAAGATATGCTAATTTTGTGAGAAAGGAATTTTGGGTTTTCATGAGCTGTATGCCAAAACTATCCGTCTTAAGACAATAAAAGACCTGAAATATTTCAGTTAGTGTGCAATGAATCTAAAATATATGAATGTTCAAGTTTTATCAATACATTATGGAAAATAATGAACTTTATCACAATATACTAATATTTTGAAAAGGATCTGTACTAACTATAACTGCAAGATTTATGGAAGATTTTACCTGAGGTGTAGATCTGGTACTGCAAGGCCAAGCAGTCAGTTTTAGATTTTTAAATGGCCGTTTTAGGTACCTTTGTCCAGAGAGGTCACTTTAAGCTGGTCTTGGTATTTATTGACCTAGAAGTCCAAGCCAGTTGACGGTTATGTGCTTTCCCTCCGTCAACAGGCAGAAATCTCTGAGATGCAGCAGCTTTTGGCCTCTAAAGACACAGAGATCGAGTGCTTGCAGACCCAGCTGCTGGCCAGAGGCAGCAGCACCAACAACAATGCAGAGAGAGGTATGCACGGCTGACAATCTGACTTCTCCTCGCAGGCCCACATCAGTCTGCACCAATGTGTGAGAGGCAACCAGTGATATGCATGACTGTCAGTTTGGATTACTTTTAACACATAACCATGTCTCTCTCCCCACTGACAAGTTCTTTACCTGTTCTTGACTCTCTGCTGCACTCTGCTGTAGAGGAAGTGTATATCAAGCAGCTGCTAAACAAATGTAAGCCACCGTGAAGCTTCATGTTGACGTGGGTTCGGTTTCCAACCAAACACTCAGTAGTTTAATTCAATTTCAGCAAAAGCAAAGCAGTGATTTGGTCATTTGTTGCCTGTTTGATTCGAGATCGGACCAAATAAATAGTGTCTGTTGGACAAAAAGATTAAAAGCACAAAAATGTCCTGCATCCTTTTAAATGAACACATAATAAAGATGATATGTGGAGCAAATTTTCAGCCCAGAAAAATGACCTAAATTCTAAGAATAATTGTCTTGATGCCAAAAGGAGCCCAACAGATTTTACTTTCACAAGTGTAGCTTGTTTCATGTATATAAATTGCTTTATTATAATTATGCAGGGAGTTTTACAGTTCATATGGACACTGCAATGTAAGTAGAGCAGAAAAACAGAAGAAGAAGAAGGAAAAAGAAAAAGAAAAAAACAGGACAAAAGATGAAAGAAAGAGGAGATAGGAAGGAGACAATGACAAAACATTTTCAGTCTGCTTCAACACCTGTAATGAGATGGAAAAAAAAACAAAAAAAAAAAACAGCACAACCAAAAAACATGGTACGAGACATACAATAAAGCAAACACCTTGAAACTATCGCTAACGTAATATTATTAAGTCTGACATGTACTCTGTGTTACCTGAAGATATGAATGTGGGGTTTCTGTTTGGAAGTGAATCTCTAAGTACCTGAAGCCTAGCACCTGTAGTTGTTTGTGAGGGTGAACTTGTGCATGTAAAGTTTTAACCATAGAAAAAATGCTCAATAGTGGTTGTGGAGAGCCGGAGAGGCACACCCCCCAGAGCACTGAGTCCAGCGCCGGGAGACCCAAAGCCCCAGGCGCCCAAGGGGACCCCAGAAGCGAAGGCACCAAGGCGGGGCCAGCCCCGGAAACCAGACCCCACCAAGGCAGGAGGAGAGACAGCCACGAAGAAGCCCCCCAGCCACCGCCATGCCGGCGCCCCGGGGAGCCGCGGGGACGAGTCCGCGGGCCCCGCCGGCAGCCGGCCACCCCGAAGTAGGGCCGGGCACCGAACACCAGCCCCCCCACGGCGCCGACCGAAACGCCCCAGCCCCACAGAGCACCGAAACACGCCCCGCCCCCCAGCACCAAGCCCCGGCGACCGGCCGCAACACCCACCGCGACCGCACCACCCAGGAAAACACTCAGGCGGCCCCGCCCCCGGCCGGGGCCCATGCGCATCCGCCGCGAACCGGCCGCGAGCGCCGCGGGACCCCCCCAAAACGCCCCCCCGGCCAAAAGCGCAGCCCCACCCCACCGAGACCGATGCCAACAGCGCCCAACGAAACACACCGCGCACAGAATCAGCCCGAGAGCAGAAAAGCCGCCCGGCGCAAAACCGCAAGAAGAGCAGACCGCAGCCGGCGCAACCACCCCCCCCAGCAGCCCGAGGGGCAGCACAAAGCCAGAGCGGAGCGAACCGCGCCGCCCCCCCACCGGACGAAGCCAAAGCAGCCCAGCCACGTCCGCCGCCCGCACCAGGCCCTGACACGCGGCCAGAGCAGCTCCGCCGCCCCGGCCCCCCACCACGCGCCGGCCATAGCCACTCCAGGCCCCCACCCGCCCCGCAGCCCCACCCGCCGCGATCAGCGGGAACAGAGCAGCCCCGCCATGCCTCCAGGAGGGAAAACCCACCCGAATACCTAGCCAGCGCAGCCAGCCCACCCAGACCGGCCCCCCAACACTACCCCCGCCGGAGCCGCCCGGACCCACACACACCAGCGGCGCGCCGCCAGCAGGACCCCCACCCAGCAGGCCCGCCCGCCCCCCGAGAAAACAGACATGCCAAACCCCCAAAGGAAGAAGAAAAAAAAAAAAAAAAAAACAATGCCCCCACAATGCGACAGCGGACACCAGACACCGACCCGCCCGCAACCGCTCCCCCCCACCGAGGAAGAGAAAAAAAAACATAAATAAATAGGTAAATTAATTAATTAATTAATAACTACAATTAAAATAAATAGGCAAGAGGAGAAGTGCGAGCGGAAAAACCGGAGCCCAAAACAAGACCCGCACCCCACCATGCCGTGCAGCTCAAACCCCCCCCCCCCCCCCCCCCCCCCCCCCCCCCCCCGAACCGGTACCACAGAACCGGCATAGGAAAGAAACACCGCCCAGGAACCGGCATCGTAGCGAAGGCACCGGCACCGACCCCGAAAATCCCCGAACAACACCCAGCCCCACCCCGAAGCGGATCCAGTCCCAGGCCCCAGGGATCCGAGGCCCCAAGGGCACCCGATCCCCAGACAGGAGCCCCAGCAAAGCCCCGGCCGGCCGGGGCCAGCGGAGAGGCCGCCAGGAATGAGCCAGCAGTCCCCCGGGCATCCACCCCCAGCTCCACCAGTGCACCGGTGAGCCCCGACGCCAGCCAGCGGAGGGAGAGCAGGACGGGGGGAATGGGCTCCGCACTTAGCGGAGACTTGAGATGTATTTGGGAGAGGGTGCGGTTGAGACCCCAACCTGGGAGAAAAAAAAAAAAAAAAAAAACACACCATCTCAATCATGCCTTCCCTCCCTAGTGCCCCCACTCGTTCCACAGGAAAAAAAAAAAAAAAAAAAAAAAAAAAAAATTGAATAAAATAATAATAATAATAATAAATAAAGAAAATAACAACGCAGACACACATTCACACATAACACTCCCATCCAATAATACCAGGACCAAAAACCCGGTGACACCGGTGGTCGGTCCCGGGACTATCGGATGATCCCATAAGTGAACCTAAAATCCGGATGTGAGGGGAGGGGAGCGGCGACACCGCCACACCAACCCATCTCTTTCCTGCTTCAAGCCCGGCCCCCCACCCCGCACACGGACCGGACCACCCCCAGCAAGAGCCCCCCCCGGGGCCGGGGGCCACCCATCCAGCGCCGGCCACCCAACCAGAACCGCCCCCCCCCCCCCCCGAACAGAAAGAAAAAAAAAAGAAAAAAAACCTTCAACCAGGCACTTCATGCCCCTCCATCCAACCTTCTTTGGGGAGAGCAGAGGTGACAGCCCCGCCACCAGCAGGCCACCTAGGCCCCGCAGCCAGCCCCAGCCAAAACCACGGACCAGGCGGCCCGCTCTTCCTCCAGGCCCCAGACTCCAGGCGGCAGCCGGAAAACAGGGGTGTGAGAAGACCCCGATCCTCCCTGCGCCCGCTCGGCTTTCATGGGGGTGTTGTTGCGTGTTCTCTAAATTTAAATTTTAAAACTGGGAGTCCCCAAGGGGGGGTGTCCGGCACACTCCCCCCCCCTCCAGAGATAGACGGGGGCCAGCACACCCCCCCCTTCGAAAACCCCCTCCCCCCCTTTTTCAAGGGGGGTCCCTTAAATTTTTTTGGGGGAAGGGGAGGGTTGGGAGGAAGGGAATTTTTTTTGGTTTTTGGGGCCCCCAAAAAAATAACCCCCCCCCCTTTTGGCCCCCTAACCCCCACCCCCCCGAAAATCCCCCTACATAATGTGTTTTTGTGAAAATGATGTAGGATGGAAGTGTCTAAAATGCAAAAAAAAAATTGGTGGGGGGGACCCCCCATCAAAGGGTTTGGGGGCCCTCCAGAAACCCCGACCCCCCTCCCCAAAAAACCCTACATGTGGGGGCAGAGTGAGGGGAGCAGGCAGGGGGAGGATTTCGGGGATGGGGGGGCAAAGGACGGGGTCCTGCTTCACTCCCAGGGAGCCAGCTCCCCCGCTGACTCGAATAGGCACCCCCGTTCCCCGAGAGCCCCCCCAGAGAAGGGGGCCCCACCAGTTTCACCACCATAGCCCGGGGGCACGGGACCGGCAGCAGGACCCACCAGCCAGCCGGGCACGGAGCCGACACCACCACCACCCCCCCGTCCTGTCCATCCCAAAAAAAAAATAAAAAAATAATAAAAAAAAAAATAAATAAATAAGTAGATAAATAAATAAATAAAAAAAAATAATAAATAAATAAATAAATTAAATTAATAAAAAAATATAAAAGGAAGATAAGAAAAAAAAAATAATAATAATAAATAAATATAAGGGGGGGACAACCCCAGCCGGCCAGCCAACGCGCAACACGCAGAGCCCCCACCCCGGACGAAGCCCCACCAGGGGGCAGCACGGACCAGGACCAAGACAGGGAGCCAGACCCGAAGCCCTTCAAAGATCTCCTTCCCTCTATCACCACCCCCCACCCCCCCTCCGGAGATGTAATCCCTCCCCTACAATAACAATCAAGCTACTCACCACACAAGCGACAGAAGACATCCAGGCCGAGATCATACCTACTCCCCCCTCCCTCCCCTTCCCCCACTTACAGAGTGCAAACCCGTGAGGGGGTAAGCACTTGCCATAGGTGTTAATGTCCATGCCCCCCCCCAGCCCAGCAGGCCCCGAGGCACCCCGGCACACCAGAGGCCGTGGCAGCAGGGACAGACAGCCGGGCGTACACCGGCCCAGAACCCAAGCAGCACTCCCCACAGAACCCGAACCCCCGAACCCCCACCGGGGACCCCGCCCAAGGGCAATGCGCCCCAGGGATCCCAGACCCCAGGACCCACCCCAGACCCACCCCGCAGTAGGGCCGGGCAATGCCCAAAAAACCCCCGGCGCCGGCGCCAGCGCCCCCACCCCGACCCCGGCCCCCGAACGACTCCCCTCCAACACCGGTCCCACAGCACCAATCCGAAGAAGAAGAAAGCCACACAACACAGCAAAGTGCAAATCCCGAGCCCCACTCCAAGCCCCCGTGCCCCCCCCCCCCACACCCCCCCCCCACACAAAAAAAAAAAAAAAAAAAAAAAAATTATAATATTCTCCCCTCACTGGAGAAGAACGGCCGCAAACAAGCCAGTGCCCAACACCCACCGCCACACCACAAGGACCCCTCCACCCAGATGCTCCTCCCCAGAAAAGTCAACATGCCTGCCCTCCCAGGAGACAGGCAAGCCCGCCGAACAGGAATCCCCCCGGCAGCGCACCGCCGGGATGCGGGGGGCCCGAGCAGCCCCAACAGAAA